TATTCCAACATTGTTTAGTCATGTGACTAATAAATTAAACTTGGGAAATTTCGAACCTATTTTCCTGTGAGTTATCTTTGAAAAATTTTGCAAAAAAGTGATTTTCTTTATTTTTTTTTCCTCTTCAAATTTGAAACGCTAACAAAAAAACCTGTATTTTCTTCTTTGTTCTCTTCCAATATTTAAACTTTGAATTTCGAGGGAGAAAGCTAGCTATTGATATTTGGATATTCATGGAACAGATATTAGACATTAGATGGTGGAAACAAAGACATTGCAAGATAAGAATTGATTCTCCAAATGAATTAGTTCAAGTACCTTCTCTTTAAGTCCAACAAATTCGAAATAAAAAAAATGCTCTACATTATTGTTCCAATAAGTTATGTATATCCCTCTTGACATCTTTAAGCAATGAGTGAGAAACAGATGTCCAAAGAGTGGTAGGGTATACAAACCAGAACACTAGAACAGATATATATGGATAGAGCCTAGAGGTAGTTGTGATTGATTTATGGGATATATTCAAACTTCTTTTTTTAATTAAAAAAAAAAAGATTGCACCACTAGCCTAGATCATTGATAATCTACCGCGGAATCACAAATAGAATGAAAAAAAAAAATCCAGTTCATACTTTCGTTAACTAGTATCGATAAGTTCAAAGTAAATCATTTCAACTCAAGTTATATTGAGAGGTCGATGAGAGACATAATTTCATTCTCACTGCGAATAATAAGAATTGAACCTTGTGTACTAGGTGAGAGCTCAGATAGGTTGTCCTTCACTGCTATTCGATTACTGTGGTATATCTATATGGATATAGGTATACATTAATTTATATAGACACATTTTTTCGACAAGATTCAAATGGGGCTGTGCGAATTCTTGGCTGCATATACTTGGTGGTAAGAAATGGGGCAAGGCTTGGAGGGGACCAACATAGATTGTCTGGTTATAGGATATGTTTTGCCCATTTCTATTATGTGTAGCAGTAGTACTAGAGCATCTTTTTTCATGTTATATGTTCTGCTTTTATCAAATGGCCAGTGGGTGTGAGTGATAAAACATTTTAGTGCTGTCTGTTGGTGGCACGTGTGGAGGTCCATTGTATATATTCGCATATTATTTTGTACTTCGCACGTACCAAAAGTGCTAAGGAACCCATGTGCACGTGCCGATCACGTGGGACCAGCCCCTTTGACATTCTTCTGAATTCGGCTATATTTGAACTAGCTTGGAGCCAACCATGGATCGTATACGTTGCATTAGAGGAAGTGAAAGGTAGCGATCATATCAAGAATTTTTGTCAACTCTATTGACCCTACACTCTTTGTGATCCCAGTCAATGAAAGAGATTCATTGTCATCATGAGTCCTCTCTCCTGCAATGTTTTTATATTATTATTATTATTATTAACAGTTTTATATGAGGAACTGGAAATTACATGATAATAAATATATGTACATTGAGGAAAATAAGACATACATATGTAGAATTTTTATTTGGAGAACTCTCAAGAAGCTATATAGTACTTTAGTAAAAAAATGCCTTTTTTTTCTTAAGGGAAAAACAATGCTTTTTGGTAACATGGTATTGCTTTTTTCTTTTTATTTTCTTTTAATTGACCACCTCTTGACAAATTAAATTTCAAAGAATTAATAATATGATAGAAAATACAATGCAACCGCATTCTTACCGAAAACTATATCTCTTAAAAGGAAGTTGAGAAAAAAAATGTTTTAACTTATGAAACTTTGACATATCTGTATGGGTTAAAATCCCATTGAGATAAATAAGAGTGCTATACTTTAACACATTACAAAAAGGAAGAATCATTAATCCAAACCCATACCTGCCTAGCTATCCAATATGTTACCATGTGTTGCACGTTTGTCCATTGTCTATTGTCCATTCCACATATTAATTAAACATGGCTTCAATAAGAAAATGATAACTTGAGTATGGCAATATTTTCCATAATTACTTGTAAAGGCTTTGTAAATTTGTAAATTTAATAAAGTCCTTTTGCTCATTCAAAAGTTGGCAGAACATTTTCATAACTAATTATTTCCCACATGCCAGGTTTGTGAAGAGAATCTTCAGTCAGCTAGAGAAATAAATATCATGATGAACTTCCTATTTTCTACCTTCTTTTAGCTTTCAGTTACTACTACTTCCTACCTTTCTTAACAATGACACTAGTTGACCAATACATTGAGCCACTAAGACCCTCAGAGTGGGCACAACCCTATCCTTTTTTTTCAAAATTGGCAGTTCATAACTTCCACTTTTACTTTATGGTGAAAGTATCAAATCTGAAACATATTTATTCTTTTGTTGCATACCAAATTGTTGCATTATTAAGATGTCAATAAGAGAAAAGGATAGTGTTATTCTTTTTATCATTTTTTACATTTATTAGTTGACATGCAGACTACACTAATATGATATATTATTATTTAAATAGAAAATGAGATAGTAGAATCCACACATCAAATAATGAATGCAGAAAGTGATAAAGAGAGTGACGCTGACATTTCTCTGTCAATAATGAAAGGGTCTAATTTTTATTATGTGTAAATTTTTACAATGTTTATCCTTTCTATTTTTTGCCAAATTTTACATATCAAGAGAGAGCCAGCCATGACATGGAAGGAAATGAAAGGTGGAGGCTATTTCGCTTGTGGTTTGTGGGGCACAAAAAGCACTTGCAAGACCAACCGTTGCAGAGCAATTCACAATCCATCAAAACCCCCAAAAAGAAAACCCATCTAACTTAATTCTTACCACAAATACAGAGAAAAGAGGGAAAAAAAAGGAAATAAAATTAATAATTAAAAATGGAAAAAACTATTGGTGTTGCATGTTGCAGATTCCAATTTTCCTCTCTAACCATCTTTCATAGTCAACATCACCTTTAACATTATATAATAATATATATATTTTTTCCCCTTCTGTTATATATATGAAATATCTTCTTATTAAAACAAAGTTTCAATCAATCCCAGAACCTTCCACTTAATAATGCGATAAACCTAATCTCTTTTATGCCTTTATCATCAACACAACATACAAGCTGTGATCCGCCCCTCTAAAACTTTGGTAGTGGGGTGTCACTTTTTATGTTTCACATTGATGAGACTCTTTGCCTATAAAAACCCCAACTTCCCATGACACAACTAAATTGTGTGTTGTAACAATCTCAAAGCAAACAACAAAAACAACATTCTTAGTATTTTCTTTGCTTTCTTCTTCATAGATAGCTTTCCATCGTCACTTCCTTGTTCAAACTCTGGGGAAAAAACATGGTGGGTACTAATTTATTTAGTCCACACAAACATACATGTGTTTATATATATGTGTGTGTGTGTGTGTATATATATATATATATAATTTTTTTTTTCTTTTCTGGCCAGCCAAGTACATTTAGACATGGCCAATGGGAATTCATATTTTATAGTTTTTTTTTTTTTTTGGGTTCTTCTTGACATTATTGTTTTCTTTTTTTTTTTTCCCCCCCAAAATGTCTTGATTTTTTCTAGGACGGGAAGATGAGTTGGACTGTTGCAGATGCTGTGGACTACAAAGGGTTCCCTGCTGATAAGTCCAAAACTGGTGGTTGGTTACCAGCTGCTCTTATCCTTGGTATGTTCTTACCTTCATATATATCTTCATGTTTCACTTATAAATTACACACACACACACACACACACGCACACACATATATATATATATATATATATGTATAAGAAACTATGGCATCATTATCAAATGAATGCATCCTTTCCTCAATAAACATATAAAAAGAGATGTTGAAGAAGATGATGAAGAAGAGCATTTGGAGGTTTATGCAGCCTCAGAACAGCTCCATGAAGAAGAGAAAAGACTTATTCAAACTCTATTACTGTAGAAATAGTAATTTCATATTATATGTATTTAGATATATTTATTTATTTGTGACATGTATGTATTTGTTGCAATGCATATATATGTCTATATGTATGTGGTATACATTAGAAGAGAGGAGAGAAAGGGAGAGCTTAGATATATGGTCATGGTTGGCTGATAACAGCTAGCCAAAGAACTCACATGTTTAGTTTGATATATATTAGTAATAAAGTAGATGGTTCATGCAAAAATGATGGTAGAGACACATGGGTTAATTTGTAATTTCCATGTTTAAAACAATATTATTGTTAAAGAAAAATAAAATCTCATAAAATATTATTGCATAGCAATTGGCACCTTTCAACTCTCACCAATTAAAAAGGCTTAATTTTTTAATCAATAGTCAACCTAAATACTTAATTTTCGTATCTTCATGTTTCTTTTTTCTTTTCTCTCTTTTTTTCCTTACTTTTTCAATTATTTTTCTGGCTATAAGATTTTAGAGGACCCCATCTGTAGATGGTTTACACAATATTCCTGGCCTTTTTCTGTTTGGAGTGTATGGAAAAGGCAGATATTGATGAATCTGGATCATTCTTCTGAACATGGAATTATACACATCAATTTCATTCCTCTTTTGCCCATCTTCCTTTTTGTATAATTGTATACTCCACTTCTGTTGAAACAAGAGTCGCTTTCTGCAAGATTTCGTTGTTACACTTACAAAAAAAAAATACGACATTTTCCATATCTTATATATAACTTGCATAATAAAGAATCATCAACTTTTGCTTTGAACTTGATTTTATTAATAGTAACATTATACACATATTATTATCATATCTACAAATGAACCCTATGCTTCTCTCCATGTGGCCAACTTTTCCCTTCCACTTTCCTGAGGTTAACTTAGGAACTTTTTGAAAAACATGTTCTTTTTTTTCTTTTTTTTTTCCATGGACTATTAAAATAAACATAGGCAACATAATTAAGTATTATATTAAATTTGGAGCAAGTTATATATGCGCGTCAAAAACTTGTTGATTTAGTTAGAAAAGTACAATTATTTGACAATTTAATATTTCTTCTTATTTTAACAGTGATTGAATTAAGTGAAAGACTTTCAACAATGGGAATAGCTGTTAACTTGGTGACATATTTGGTGGGAACAATGCATTTGCCAAGTTCAACCTCAGCCAATATTGTAACAGATTTCATGGGCACTTCTTTTCTCCTTTGTTTGCTTGGAGGGTTTCTGGCTGATTCTTTTCTTGGGAGATACAAGACCATTGCAATCTTTGCTGCTATACAAACACTGGTGAGTATATATATGCATGCATGAATAATTTTATTAAATAGCTGAACATTTTTTTTGGGACAAAATAATTTTTAATGAGTTGTGTATACATGAGTAATTTAATTTCTATATAATGGTTAATTATTAACATTTTTTTTGACTAATCACTAGACAGGAAAGTAGTGGCTTTAACATTTTTATTTTTAATATTTTACTTTAACTAGACTGTTATTTTATATAATTAGGGCACTGGTGCTTTGGCAATATCAACAAAACTGCCCCAACTACAGCCACCCGCTTGTGACACAGCCTCAGGCAAAAACTGCAAACCGGCCAATGGATTTCAGATGGGAATTTTGTACCTGGCTTTGTATTTGATTGCACTTGGAACCGGAGGGTTGAAATCGAGCGTTTCGGGGTTTGGAAGCGATCAATTTGATGAGAAAGATGAGAAGGAGAAAGCCCAGATGGCCTACTTCTTCCAGAGATTCTTCCTCTTCATCAGCGTTGGAACTTTGATGGCTGTCACAGTGCTTGTCTACATACAAGATGAAGTGGGTCGGAGTTGGGCATACGGAATTTGTTCAGTTTCGATGTTGATCTCCATCATAGTGTTCTTGTGCGGAACTAAAAGATACAGATACAAAAAGTGCATGGGAAGTCCTATAGTTCAGATTTTTCAGGTTATTGCAGCTGCTTTTAAGAAGAGAAATATGTCAGGTCCTTTCAATGTTTCCTTGTTGTATGAGGACACTCCTGAGGCTTCAAGAATCGCCCACACCGAACAGTTCCGGTAAAAACCATTAGACCTTCTCAAAATTGCTAGTTAATTATTTCCTCATAGAAGAATTCCGTGGTAGGATACAATTTTTATCTCTTAGATAATCATCAACGTTTTATTTATTTGATATGATTTGGACATGATCTGACTGTTTAAAATTATATCTTACCGTGAGGATATGAACAAAAATGCATATGCTTCTTTAGAACTCTCTATTTTGTTATTTTTTCAACTGTCTAATCATAAAGAATTCGGAGGCAGGCATGCAGTTTTTAACCGATAAATTTTCATGATGTTGGGTTAAATTGTCATGTTTTTTTAATATGATATAATTCTAATATAATCTGACTGTTTAAAACTGCATCTCACGAGTAGGGATGCCATTTCTTGTATGTTCTATTTTTAACTGCCCAATTATATACTTATTTAATGATTTCTTTTTTTTGGGGTAGTTTCTTGGACAAGGCAGCAATAGTGACAGAAGATGATTTTGAGAAAATTAATGGTAAAACTTCTGCTCCGAACCCATGGAAGCTATGCTCAGCCACAAAGGTGGAGGAAGTTAAGATGATGATAAGATTACTGCCAGTGTGGGCCACAACCATATTGTTTTGGACAACTTATGCACAGATGATCACATTCTCTGTTGAACAAGCTTCTACCATGGAAAGATCAATTGGAGGTTTCCAAATCCCAGCTGGTTCTCTCACAGTCTTCTTTGTGGTAGCCATAATGATCACTATTGTTTTCTATGACCGTGTTATTATGCCCCTTTGGAAGAAATGGAAAGGCGAACAAGGTATATATATACACACACATATACATAAATATAGAATAAGATAAGAAATCAGTTAAAATAAACGTATATTATATGGAACCTTGATCATAATCTACGAATATGTGACATCGAACTATTTAAGTACTAACAATTACAGTGTAGTTTGATTAGAAAAGGTGACTTCACATATGCAAGTGTGCATGGACAAATTAACTATTTAATTATGATATCCAACTGGGCCTTTGGGTATACAGATAAACTGATAGAATAGAAGCGAAGAATCTTTTCTGGTCACACACAATTAGCTTGTACTTATGACTAACTTCCAATGATAATTTGAACTTCCACTTTCCAAAATAAACAACAACAACAATAATAGTAATAATAATATACCCTTAACACTATGGGTGTATTCATTTGCACAACTCAAGTTGTGACTGATCAAGTTATATTACTACAGTATTTTCTCTTACACAAATTTAAATTCAATTTTTTTTACTGTAGTGCTTTTCTCTCACATACACAACCTAAGTCATGATTTAAGTTGTGCAAATGAACACACCCTAAATAATTCAAAGATGAAAGAGCCACAAGATAATGGCCCACTTAGATTTTAAAAAATATTTTCTATTCTCCATTTTTTTTTTTAAATTTTAGTTATACTCTATTATATATATATATATATATATATATATAAGTTATAACACCGTACTCAATAGTTAGAATATATATTTAAATTTTAATTATACTCTATTATATATATATATATATATATATATAAGTTATAACACCGTACTCAATAGTTAGAATATATATTTATCTTTTTTTTTCCTCATTATACCTCTTTTACTGAATTTTTCTAACTCGGAAACTTAATTCATTCGTCCCTTTTATATGCAACAGGGTTCACCAACTTGCAAAGAATGGCAATAGGCCTCGTCCTCTCAATCTTCGGGATGGCAGCCGCGGCGCTTTCCGAGATGAAACGCCTTTTGGTGGCAAAGTCCGCCGCCCCCACAACGCAAACTCTCCCCATAAGCGTCTTCCTCCTGATCCCGCAGTTCTTCCTCGTGGGGTCGGGAGAAGCCTTCATCTACACAGGCCAACTAGACTTCTTCATAACACAATCTCCCAAAGGCATGAAAACCATGAGCACAGGCCTCTTCCTGACGACTCTTTCGCTCGGTTTCTTCGTCAGCAGCTTCTTGGTTTCCGTGGTGAAGAAGGTGACCGGAAGTAGGGATGGTCAGGGGTGGTTGGCTGATAACATAAACGAAGGAAGGCTTGATTGCTTCTACGGGCTTTTGACTGTTTTGGGAGTGATAAACTTTGCGGCTTATATCGTTTGTGCAAAGTGGTACAAACCCAAGAAAGCTAAGCCTGCTGTGCAAATGAGTGGCATAAATGCAAATGGCAATAATGATAACTATGATAGGTGCTAGTGATGATTGTATTTGTACTGCTGGTTGGGGTTAAGTACTTTAATGGGTTGGTTTTTGTTTTGTCCAATATTGTATGTACGACAATCAGTGGTTTGTATTGTGGTTATCGTTTTGTGATATGTCTCAGCTTTGTGCCACCTTTTAAGTTGAAATCTATAATCAGATCTTTGTCCAGATCCGTTATGTTTTCTTATGTCTTCTTTCTCATCTTTTATTTGGTTTTATTCACCGCGAAACAATCATAATAAAAAAAAAGGAAGGAGGAGATGAATAGGATTCTGTGGAATAAAAATAAGTGACCAGAGGTTTTAGGTTAATTAATAAATAGCTGGAGTTTTGTAAATATGGGTTTTTACCGGATTTACCTACGATCACCAAATATGATCAATTCGAAATTTACCAAATTTACTCGTATAAAGATAGCCCCAAATTAAATACATTATTTATCACTATTTGTTTATTTTCATTTACATTAGTAATATTTAGTTGATAAAGTTTTTTTAAGGAAATATTTCACTAAATTAGCAAATTACGTCAATAGTCGTAAATAACCATAAAATAGACAGGAATTCAACCCCAGACATTGACTGCATTTACCAATAAAAACAGATGAAGCACAAAGACGAACACAAGTGTCGAGACCTAATGGGAAAAGATGAAACAAACGATTTGACCCTTGAACATTACCTAGATCCACCAGTTGATAAAGTAATTTTTATTCTTACAAATCTCCTTTTAAAATTGAAAGGGCGTATCAATTACTACGTATGTTAAATAAATAGATAATTTACAATACGTCACTTTTTTGATACATTATAGGGAAAAAAATTGAGTTTGAATTTTTATGAGAAAAATACAGTAATAAAAATTTGAGTTATAATTCAAACCAACATAACAGACGGTGCCTAAAAGAGTCAAAGTTTCTTTCTTTCTATTTTTTTTTCATTTTGAATTTACATGGTCAAGATGTTTTTAATCGTACTTCCACATATATACTCATATATGTTTGGGATCATAACAAATTAAAACCTCTTATGTTTTTCTTTTGTTTTTTTGTTTTTTTGTTTTTTGAAATGTTGCTTTCGATATCTTGTGTCTTCAGGTATTCCCCCACTTATCTTTTACATTTGTATAATTATGTTAAATCATATCCTCTAACGTAAAAAATAAAATAAATTTCTCTTATAAGCACATTACCCTACCTCATTGAACATGCTAGCCTTTTAAAGTGAATGTCCAAGCTCTTAAAAGTATATTTTGGTCAAAATAACAGTGTAAACGATAATTTTAACGTTACTTTTAAACTGACTCTATTAAGAATTATTTTGGTCCAAACACCAAATAAACCTTTCTTTTATAAATAATAAAAATTACCTAAAATAATGTAGTAAACAAAAATCACATCATTTAAAGTTATTTTTATTACTGTACAATAAAGCTTTGTTTGACTTTAGGAAAAAAAAAATTTCTCAATTAAAATAAAGTTTAAAAGTAAGGTTAAAATTTTCTTGAAGGAGTAAGAGTGGAGGACCAAAAGTTGCAAAATAAATAAATAAATAAAAGAATGGACCAAAATAAAAAAGAAGGCTGTCACGTTTTGACCACTTCTATATCTAGCTAATTATTTAGATAGATATATAAGTATAAAAGTATATGCATATAGTATACATGTGTACGCGATCTTTTTCGCCCTCTCTATTGCTCTGCTAGGGTTTTGTTCTCCTTTTCTTTTCTTTTTTTTCTGCACCGCTTGAACTGTTGTCACACCCCCCAAACGGGGTGGGTGACGTGGAGCTCGATTTGGGATTAATAAAGCAGGTTCCCAACCGGGCCCCACACTTAACTGCATTAAAATATGAATAAATTACATTACAGAATCTCAGAGCCTCTGACACACAGGGCTCCACCCCACAGAACATACAGTATCGTACATACATGTTCATGTAAATGATCATTACAACATACATTAACCACAATCTAGTAAATCCAAATATTATATAAGTTTACAGAATTTCTCAAATTCCTTACATTTGTCCAAGAGGATGTCCACGATCCTCACTTGATTCCAACAGCAGCACAACTCAGCTGCTCCGTAGCAAATATCTAGCTACTGTGCACCGCTCCTAGAATCTCCTTGGAGGAGTTTAGTACATTTAAAACATAAAACGTGAGCGAAAGGCCCAGTAGGATATAATTTGAAATAAACGTTATAATATATGAATGAGGGAATACATAAATAAATAAGTAAATAAAATAAGACATTCAGTCCCGACAGAACAACCGGAACCTCACATCCTTTTTCTCAAAGGAAATATAACTGTAAATAACCGTTTTACAAGCTTCAGCAAGTAATTAGTACAAATTAGTTACCTAACCAAGTGCCTCGCCTACCCAGACCAAGTTTCGGGTTCTGCCCCCGAGGATGCACTCTCCGCATCCTATCTAGGCTTACATCAATAGACTCTATTACCAGTTCACAAGATCTCTTTGCTTAAGAAATCATTCATTAAACATTTTGAAATCCTAAACAAGTCATGGTTTTCAAAGCGTTTTCTTTCACAAATCAATCCCTTTCTTTAAAACATTTTCAAGGCCAAAATCCTTTTTGAAAACAGGCTGACAAGAAAAAGGGATAGAAATCCTACCTCGCACTATCAAACCTGGGACTAGTGTTGCCTTTTCCGGCTTCTGCTTCCTCAAGCCCCTTCAATCTGAATCCTCAGCGATCACTGATGCAAGACAACACTTTAGGATCAATTCTCATTCCTAAAGCAATCCAAATCTCAATTCCCAACAAAGATTTCCTATTAGTGTGCCCTAATCCATTTTCATGTTTCAAATTATCATTCCAAGGGTTTTCAATCTCAAAACAAGGATTAACAATGCTAATCCATCTATCTCAAGTCCCCAAATGAAGCTAATTTGGGTTCTCCCCGAAAACAGGGGTCAAAACAGCAATTTCAGGCCAAACAGGGTCAAACCCCGTGTCAACCGGTCGACCGGTAACAGAGCAGTGCAAGACTACCGGTCAACCGGTAGTGTGCACACCGGTCGACCGGACCGGTCAACCGGTCAGCCTTACAGTCCGGTCGACCGCATAGGTCGACCGATTTCCATGTGATCCGGTCGACCGCACTGGTTGACCGGTGGAATCAGCTGCGCGAGAGAAGCTCGCGGAAATCAATCCAAAACCTGCAAATCCAGTCCCAAATCGAAATATTTCAAAGGAAAACCACTAGATCTGGGTTCTAGGTCCTAAAACAAGTCCAAAGAACCCAAGATCTCCAATTTCTACTCTAGTTTTACTAAAACACTATCGAAATCCGGTTTGTACCAAAAGTAAGTTTTGAAATTCAAAAACTTGAGATTCAAGAGATAATTATGCTAAACTGTGGATTATTAGTATGCCTAATTTGATTTTCATAATTAATCAAGGGACTTTAAGTTATTTTCAGTATTTATAATTTCACCCCAAAGATTTTTGGAAAACACACTTAAATTTAATACATTTTCCTTTTTTCCATTTTTCTTTTTCCTTTTTCCTTTTCTTTTCTTTTTCTTTTTCTTTTTTTTCTTTTCTTTTTTTTTCTTTTCCCCCTTTCCCTTCCCGTGCGCCAGCCCCCCTTTTCTTTTTCTTTTTTTTTTCTTTTCTTTCTTCTTCTTCGTCTCTGGTTCTTCACGCACAGCCACCTCTCTCTCTCTTTCTCTCTCCAATTTCTTCCACCGCCGGCCACCTCCCTCTCCGGGCTTCCTCCCGCTAGCGTCCTCTCTCCCCCTTGCTATCTCTCTCTGGGTTTCTCTCTCCCTCTCTCTCTCTCTCGGCAGTTTGGCCGAAAATCCCAAAAAAAAAAAAAATGAAAAACAGAAAAATTGAGGGAGACAAAGCTTGAGCACCTGATTTGAGGTAAAATCCTTTGAAACCCACTCTTTGATTCGAATTTTAAGCTTGAGAAAGTTTGATTTTGGTTAGATTTGAATAATTTTGAGTTAGGGTTCGAGTTTGAACAGTTATTATTGGAATCGAATGAAATTTAGGGGGTTTTTAGTTATTGGACTTGTTTAATTGATTAGAAACTGATTTTGATGGATTTTGGAGAATATATATTGAAATTGAACTTGAATTGCAGGTTTGGCATTTTTCCTATTTATGCCGGCATGCTGCCGAAATTTCTTTAGAAACTTGTTTTTAAACTGAAATTAAATAGGAAAACCAAACCTATGAATTCGATTCTAATTTTTAAAGAACCCCCTAACTGAATTATAAAATCATTGTGAAAATTGGATTTGAGTCAAGGCACACTAATAGGAAACAATTAAACATGATTGAACTTAATTCGTTTTAGGAATGAGAAATACTTCCTAAGATATTGCTTTTGTGATAAAGCTAGTAGAGAAGGTCAAGTATTAAGGCTTTAAGGAAAGCGGAGGCTAGGAGAACTGAAGGCTAGCCCAGGTTTGACATTCGAGAGGTAGGATATTCTTGTGCATATCCTTTTTAGCCTCACTTTAAATGATTTTGGCCAATGAAAATGTTTTAGAACAAAACATGTTTAAAGAAAATGATTTTAAAGAAATAGCATGAGAATGCTATTAAGTTTTCCAATGATTTTAGAAATGAGATTTCAAAGCGTATCATTTCTTAAAATGAAATATTTTAAGGAATGATACAATGCATGGTGGCCACAGAGATCGGGATGTGGGAATCGCATCCTTGGGGGCAGGTCCCGAAACCCATACGGATCCACTTCTTGTTTAGTAGAATTATGGCTCTGCACTTTTCATAGACATACATTTTTACCGCTTCTTGTTTAGTGGTATGATGAGCTGCACACTTTCATTGTACAGACATATTCTATTATGTGAGTATTTCCTTTTTTTTTTAAAAGGGATGATCGGTTCCGGTTGTATATCTTCGAACCGTGAGTACCTTTATTTTAAATGCTTTATAAAATTATATCCTACTGGGCCTTTCGCTCACCTTTTCCTGTTTTCAAATGTAT